ACACACACACACACACACACACACACACACACACACACACACACGTTAATTATATTCCATCACTTCTGCCTAGAGGGAACTCACCTTAACTCTGTGACAAACACCCTAGTTTGTCAGATGCTGTCATTTCCATGCCAAGCACAATCAGCTCTGTTCCGCCCACCACCTGTGACACTGCCATCCCATCTTCAATATATTGAGCCCTGGTCCAGGGACTGCAAACTACACTTCATGGGCCAAATCTGGCCTGTTACCTGTTTTCCCAAATGAGGTGTTACTGGAATATAGCCACATGTACTCCTTTATATCTATAGCTGCTCCCCAGCTACTTTGCATACTTGTGGCAGAGACTTTGTGGCCCAAATAGCTTAAAAATTCACATCTGATGACCCTTTAGAGAAGGTGTTTGCCAACCCTTGCTCCAAGTTTGGTTAAGACCAAAAAATGATTTTTTTCATCTCTGGCACGTGCTCTGAATAAAACCACCTCTGCACTTGCCATCAGCACTCATGTGGGATGTGATTCTACCCACTTTGTCCTGAGCTACCCGGTGCTAGTCCAGTGACTGACACTGTTCTTGTATCAGTGTAACCACTTCCAGTCTAAGCACAACCCTTGCTGCTGATGCCACCTGCTCTGTGTATTAGGTCCTCCCGCCTTGTTCTGAATCCAGCCTCTCCTTCCCTAGGGCCAGCCTCCTCCCTGTGGTCAGGTTCTTCCACATATGTTCCGAGCACACTCACCTCATCTCTGTTGACCACCATGATTGTGTGAGATTATGTCACCTGTGCTCCCAGCCGTGGCCACTGTCTCACCCCTCAGTAAATCTGATCCCATCATCCCTTCCTCTAGCAATGTCCTTATACCCAGTGAGCACATTATAAGAATATCAGACCCTATCTCTTATCCCAGCCTACCCTCCCTATTTGGGTGAGCACTTCTAAAATTGAATACATCAATCCCAGTCACGGCTCCTCAATCTTAGTCTCCACCATCACCAGCACCACCCGTGGACAGAGCCTACCTCCTCTTCTCTAAGACACTCACCTCTCTCTGAGGCCCTCATGGTTTCAGGTGAATCACTTTCCACCATCTCTCCTCCCACCACAACAGCTCTTCTCAAACCACCACCACCATTACTGTGTTAGATCAATCCCTCTGCTCTAAGTACACCTGCCTCCTCTTCAATTATTGTCACTACAAATGCATCATACTATGTGATCTGTTTCCTAGGCACCTAGACCACTGGAACCAGACCAACCACCCCCATGTCTGTCACGATGGCCCCTGCAATGGACTCCATATCCCCTGCTACCAGGAATATTGTCCGTGAGATGGACCCAAATACCTCGGACCCGGGCATATCCACTTTTGGAGCACCATCTATCAGCTCTGTTCCAAACACCAGGAACACTGGGATGAGATCTACCCAGGAGCCAACCACCACTTCTGGAAGCAGTACCACTTCACATAAAATAGACCCAGTCACCACGGGCATAGAGACAGTTACCATGAGCCAAAATGCTACCATGGGACTAAGCCAAGTGGATATTGCAGCCCTGGGGCATCATCCTCATCTCTCTGTCTGTAGTTGTGGTGGGTATTGGACCATTAGCAGGACTGCGTTTTTGGCTGGTGAGTATCAAGGCTGAGTTAACAGGGGAGCCTGCTAAGAAGGTATATTATGAATGGGAGAAGAATTCATGTAAATAGTGCTATTAGGATATCCAGAATGAGAGAGGAGAATAAGTTGGTGTGCTAGGAGGAAAAGAATCATGTAGCATGCTATGAAGACTAGAAAGAATGATTAAATCAGGGAAAGTGATAAAAGTAAAGTAGAAAAAAAGGAGGAAATACACAAAATTGGGGCTAATGTGAGAGGATATTTTGTGAAAGGGGAGGAAAACAGAAGGTTTTCTTAAACAAAATCTGAAAGTAAGACTGTTTTAGCCCTGGAAGAAGAATCTCCAGGAAGTAAGGGGTCATTGGGCCCTCACTCTGCTTACTGATTTCCACTGTAAATTTTAGCACCAGTTACCCATGGACACTTCTTGGCCTCACAGGCAGAGATAAGTAGTCTACCTTGGTTTTCTTCAGCTCAGCTGCTAGACAGGCAATGTCAAAATATTTCACTAAATCTGAGAGAGAACAGGAGGGAAATAAAGAAAGAAAGCAGGAGTGGGGGACACCTGGGTGGCTCAGTCAGTTAAGCATCTCTTTTTGGCTCAGGTCATGATTTCAGGGTCCTGGGATCGAGTCCTGTGTCAGGCTTCCTGCTCAGCTGGTAGCCTGCTTCTCCCTCTGCCTGCCAGTCTCCTTGCTGGTGCTCTCTCGAGCGCTCTGTCAAATAAAGAAAATCTTAAAAAAAAAAAAAAAAAAAAGAAAGAAAGGAAGGAAGAAAGCAGGAGGGGTGCCTGGGTGGATCAGTTAGTTAAGTGTCCCACTCTTGGTTTCAGTTCAGGTCATGAGCTCAAAGTTGGGACATTGAGCCCCATGATCAGCATGGAGTCTGCTTGATATTCTCTCTCTGCCCCTCCCCCCACTTGCATGCTCTTTCTCATAAACAAACAAACAAACAAACAAACAAATAAATAAATAAATAAAATCCAGGTTTTGTCTGGGCTGGCCACTCTCTGACTTCCCATTGTATCTCTGCTTTCTGGTCTTGATCTTTCTTCAAATACATATTTTTCCTATTCTGATTTCTAAATTTATTTACATTTTTCCCATTTTCTTATAGTTTCTGTCACTAAGCTCACATTTGAGGAATGATTCAGGGTACAAATCTGTGGAGTGCTGGATGTAGGTCATACTACCTCACCAGAGACTGTGCATCTCTTCCTAGCTCTGAGTTCAGTGATACCACACTGGTAGCTTAAAAATTCTGTGGTGGAAGTATTTACATTCTAGAAACCAGCAAATGCTACAAATCATGTCTGTTTCCCTCTGGAGAGTCAGGCGTTAAATGATCACTAGTATACCACTGGTAAAAGTGGATAAGCAAATGCAACACATGCTGCAGCCAAAGGCTGGCATAATATAGTCAATTCACTAGCATTCTTTAGCTCAGAATTTTCAGCCTACCTCCATATGTAGGGTACAAAATGAAGACCATCATCCAGAAATGACTTACTAAATTACCTTATAATTTATGTGCAAGATCAACAGATAATGGGAACTAAATTAACTGAGGTTTTACTAAGTGCTAGGCCCCGAGCTGAGTGCTTAAAATGCGTCATTTCATTTAATTTGCTCTGCAGTCCTATGGGAATATAATACCTACCTTATAGGTGAGGAGCCTGGAGCTCTGTGATCTTAGTTATTTGTCCCAGCACATGTAGTACGGGGCAGATCTGGGACTGTAACCCAGGTTGGTTTGATCCTGGAGTCCATGCCTATAATCTCAAGCCTCTATATGAATACTCTCTGTCCTCAGCTTCCTTAGCTGACTAATAGAGTGAATGGCTGTGTCTTCTAGGTGAGTCTCCACAATTTCACATAGGGATGTGGATTCACTTTTGTCTCGAAAGTCTAACAGCACATAACCTTACCATGATGCAAAGGGTGTACTGCAAAGGTTGTACTAATAAAGTGACAAGGGGGATACTTGGGTGGCTCAGTCAGTTAAGCAACTAACTCTTGATTTTAGCTTAGGTCATGATCTCAGGGTTGTAGGATGAAGCCCCACATTGGGCTCTGCACTCAATGCAGAGTCTGCTTATCCCTCTCCTTCCTCCCCCTTACACACACACTCTCTCTCTATCTCTTAAAGTAAATAATAAATAGGGTGCCTGGGTGGCTCAGTCAGTTAAGGGTCTGCCTTCACTCAGGTCATGATCCCAGGGTCCCAGGATCGAGCCCTGCATTGGGCTCCTGCTCGGCCAGAAGCCTGCTTCTCCCTCTCCCACTCCCCCAGCTTGTGTTCCCTCTCTTGCTGTGTCTCTGTCAAATAAATAAATAAAATCTTTGTGAAAAAAATAAATAAAATCTTTAAGAAAAAATAAAGTGACAAGGAAAGTTGTTTACTCAGATAGAAAGACTGTGAAACAACAAAGAGAGAGAGAGACAAAGACACAATAAAGATGGTAAAGAGAGGAGAAAATTGATGATTCTAGAAAGTAAAAATTCAATGGTGAAAGTGATGATAAAGGGAGATAAGGGATAAGAGATAAGTTTGGTGATAAGAGAGAAGAGAAATTAATTTTATAATATTCTTTATTTCTCCTTTAGAGGGACTTTTCCTTCCCCCTGATAAACAGTGACACTTACTACCCTCATGACTATAGCATTGGCCTTGGTCTGGACTCTGGCCTGTTCCATAGCCTGGAAAATGAACTGGTCCATGGAGGAGCACGTGGCTTTGGACACAGAGTGGGCCATGAATTGAGCCACAGCTGTGGGAGTGGTTATGGCATCAATCATGGCAGGAGTCATGGACACAGAGGAGGCCATTACAATAGCCATGAAATGGATCACAGAGGAGGCCACTAAGGAAGCTATGAAGTGGGCCACAGAAGACCCCAGGAAGCCACAGCAGGACAAGGTGGTTATGGCCATAGACTGGATAATATTATGGAAAAACTATTATCCAGTCTATTATAGTCATAGTCTATGACTATAATAGACTGGAAAATATATTAGAAAATATTATAGAAAAAGAAAGCATGGGAGGGCATCATAGAGGAGAAGAAAAGAATGATCACGAAATGATTAAAATGAAGTATAGGGGCACCTGGCTGGCTCAGTCGGTAGAGCATACAACTCTTGATCTCAAGGTTGTGATTTCAAGCCTTACGTTGGGCATGGGCCTACTTAAAAAAAAAATAAATGGAGTATAAAAATGTTCTCAAGGAGTAAGTTTAGAGATCAAGAAAAGGACCAGCAAAAAGATCTCAGAGACCTTGACCAACATTGGGAAAAATCAAGCAGAGACTGGGTTTGGAGGAGATGCACAGCTTTACCAGGCTTGGAGATGACTTCAAGGTAAAGCTTTCTTGAATTCTACCTGAGTCTCAGACTCTATTGTAAGGAATCATAGTGATCATCCTCAGGACATTTTCTTTCCCATCTCCCACCATCCAAGTCATGGTCAGTGTTTTTCATCCCTTTTTCCTCAGGGTGCTATAAATGCTACCACACATCTCTAAGGAACAAAAGCATGCAATAAATATATTATCAGGGGCGCCTGGGTGGCTCAGTTGTTAAGCATCTGCCTTCAGCTCAGGTCATGATGCCAGGGTCCTGGGATCAAGTCCCACATCGGGCTCCCTGCTCGGCAGGAAGCCTGCTTCTCCCCCTCCCACTCCCCCTGCTTGTGTTCCTGCTCTCTCTGTCTCTCTCTCTGTCAAATAAATAAATAAAATCTTTAAAATAAATAAATAAATAAATATATTATCAGGACCACAGACTTAGTTGTTTTCCTATTTGTTCTTTTAGTTTTCATGGAGTTGTTGTTTTCTTTTTTTAATGCTTACTATGTCCCAGGTGCTGTCCCAGAAGCCTTTAAATACATCATTTAATCCTTAAAAAGTCTTTGAAGAGACTTTGAAGTAGACAAAGATACTTAAGTAAGACACAAAAAAACACTAATATAAAGAAAATTTTGATGATTTGGACTTCACAGAAGTCCAGTATCAGAATGTATCTGCAAGAGAATGAAAAGGAAAGCCAAAGATAGGATCAGGTACTGTAATACTTACATCTGACAAAAGACTCATATATCCAGAATATAAAAAGTACTACAAATCAATAAGAAAAAAAACAGGGCAATTAAAAATGGGCAGAAGATTAGATAAATATTTAACAAAAGAGTATATCAAAATGCTTAGCGAACAGTTGAAAAGGTGCTCAATATTATTTTTTATCAGAGAAATGAAAATTAAAACCACAATGAGATACCACCACAGATATACCAAAATGACTCAAATTTAAATGACTGATAATACCAAGTATTGGCAAGGATGTGGAACAACTGGATTCTTAAACATTGTTAGTGGGAGTATATAAACTGATACAATTATTTGGAGAAAATGGCAACACTAAAATTAAACACACATGTATCCTATGACCCAGAAATCCTAATCCTGAGTAAATATATCCAACAGAAATGAATGCCTTTGTCCACCAAAAGACATGTCTCATAGCAGCTTTACTTAAAATAGTGCTGAGCTGGCAATTATCCAAAGTCTATTAACATTTGAATGGGTAAATACATTGTGACATGTTTGTACAATGGAATGCTATTCTCTTAAAGCAAATCCATTTTCATCTCCCCCAGCCATGGGCCTGATCAGGGGCCAGAAAGAAGAAGCTGACTGATGCATGCTTTATAATGAACCAGAAGATCCTAGTTTTAATTCATCCTCAAGTCCAAATCAGTACAAGGCTCACATCTAAGGGCAATGCAAGTGATAATATTTCCTCCACAAATGCTGTCTAATCTCAAATTGTTACCTTTAATAATCCCAGAAGATGCCCAACTCCAGGGTGACATGAATGCAATTAGTCCAGGGGGGAAGAAAACTGGTTTCTTGTGTGAGCCCAGCTGATGGACCTGCACATTTAGCTGACTCCCATCCCTCTTGGAATTCAATGATTTTTAAGTCTTAATCATTATAGACTAGTTTAGCTCACATGTAGCCTCTTTATCTCTATTGTCAAATGAAATTAAAAAAAAAGGGGTGCCTGGGTGGCTCAGTCATTAAGCGTGTGCCTTCGGTTCAGGTCGTGGTCCCAGGGTCCTGGGATCGAGCCCCGCATCCAGTTCCCTGCTCCATGGGAAGCCTGCTTCTCCCTCTCCCACTCCCCCTGCTTGTGTTCCCTCTCTCGCTGTGTCTCTCTCTGTCAAAATAAATAAATAAAATCTTAAAAAAAAAAAAAGAAATTAAAAAAAGAAAGGTGGGGGAAAATTTAAAGAAAAGGTTTAGGTTGAATGAAGATGAGGGTTTTAGATGACCCCCCCAATCTTGCGCTGCTCCCGGGCTCCCTAACTGGAGTCTCTTCCTCCTCCCACGCTGGCACTGAGACTGACCCCAACACCGTCTGCCATCATAGCAGGTACTTCCTTCCCCTCCCACATTCCATTGTTAGAGTAGCAGCTACCATGAAATGGAAACAACCACTTCTGCCCAAGGCATAGTCACCACTGGGACATATACAACTACCCCTGTCTTGGTTACCACCAATGCTAGAACAAAATCTAGTATTTCTGTTTCAGGGAAAATCAACACTGGAATAGAAACAACCTTGACTGACGTAGATGCCACTGCCACTGAAGTAGGCATGAGCACTTCTGTGCATGGTAAAGCACTTCTGGAACAGATACATCTACTCTTGTCTCAGGTACCACTATCTCTGGAATAGGCACCATCTCCTCCTTCCAAGCAGCACCCACTAAGAAAATAGGCACAACCACTACTGCTCAAATTCGGCGTCCACTGAAATACCATCAATCATCTCCATCTCAGTCACCATCAGCCCTAGAACAGACAGACACTCCTATTTCAGGTAAGGCCAGCACTAACACAAAAATGACCACCTCTGACCAAGACACAACCACACAAGAACAAGTATCACTTTTGCCCAAGGCATAAGAACTCAAGTGTCAAAAGCACCCACCTTCATCCAGGCACCATCATCACTGGAAAAGGAACAACCACCTCTGCTCAAGAATCAGCAGCCATGGAGACAGGTATAGAAACTTCTGCTCAAGGGCAGTCACTCTTGGAATAGGCACAACCATCTTAACACAGTCCTAAGCACAACCACCATGGGAACTGTCACAACTTTCACCAAGGCACACCCACCTGTGCGTCAGGCACATCATCCTTATCCCATATACCATCATCCCATTCACATTATTTCCAAAACAGGTACCATCACCTCTTCCCAAGAATCAGCCACTGCTGAAATAGGATCAGTCTCTCCAGTCCAAAGTTTAACCATTACCAAAAGAGGTATAACCACCCTAATCCTGGACATAGCCATGGTGGGAACAGGCATAACCACTTTTGTCCAGGACACAACCACCCTGGATTGGGCACATCTCTCCTTACCCCAGACAGCACTATGATCAGAACACGAACCACAACCTTTGCCTGAGGATCATCATCTAGTACTGACAAAGAAACATCAACCTCTGATTGAGCAATCACTGGAGCAAGCACATCCCTAAGTCCATGTCCAACCGTCATGAGAAAAGACAGCCCCTTCCATCTCAGTCACCACAAGCTCTGTCGAAGATAATACCAGCCCTGGAAGATGAAAACCTTCTCTGGCCAAGGCAACAGGCCCCATGGGAATAGTGTGAACACTGCTTCTTAAGGACAACCTGCACTGGAACAGAGACCGCCACCTATGTCTTAGACACCAATTGTATTCCTGTGGCTGGAACATGACACTTTGCTCTGAGCACAACCCTCACTGAGATAGGCACAACCATTCCTGCTTCAGGCACCATGGCCCAGGGACCTGCCTCTACCTTAGTCACTGCAGTTGTGAAGTAGCATCTACCCTTGAAACTGTTGGATTCACTGAAAGCACCCATGAAGCAGACCAGGTCCTTTCCAATGTACACACAGTTTGAGCCACACTCCAGTGACTGTGGTAAAGCCAAGATATTCATGGCCTGGGGCACATTCTCATTTCTCTGGCTTCAGCTGTAGTTGCTGTCATTCTGTTAGAACTTGGATTTTACCTGCCAAGTATCTGTCACTGGTTAATGAGGCTTTGGTGACAATAGATCACAGGTTAGGGTGTATGTGTGGAATGCATGGAAATAGTATCATTTAAAGTTTTCATAATTAGAAATAATAAATATTGAAGATTGTCAGAACCAAAAAAAAAAAAGGACACTCAGACAGAGAGCACTGCATCTTATAGAGACAAGGTAGGAAGAGTAAAGCAGAAAACAAAAAGAGAGATGGAGAAAGGAGATAAAAATAGAAAGGGGAGGGAGGGTTGGAGTCTAGGAGAATGAGAGACAGGGAATAGAGGGAACAAAACTCTAAGATTCCCAAAATTTAGCCCCAAAGGGGGCCTTTTTAGATGCAAAGGGAGAGAATTAAGTGTGCTACACTGGCTTCCCTTTGGGTTCTACCCTTTAATTCAGTTGTGCTCTCCAAGAGCACAGTCCTTGCCCTTTAATGTTTCTACCCCACTGGGGGTGAAACTGTGCTTGTATCTTCTTAGCAGAGCTGAACTAGGTTGGCACACAAGAGCCTGTGGCCATATCAAGGCAGAATAACAGGAATCAACCAGAGAGGATGGGAGACAAAACAGTCTCCCTGATGAAGTGCTGAGTTTGCAGAGCTCAGCCAGGGCTCCCTGGCTCTCCAGCATTCCTCCTTGGGTTGAGACAGCTGCATTCAGTCTCAGATTGTGTTCTGCATTCAGATATTCACCAGGACTTTCTGTCTTATTCCAGTGTATTTACCTCTTGTTCTGAACTTTTATTTTATATCTTTTGTTATGGAGAGATTACCTTACACAAC